ATAGCAAGTGGCAGTGGGCCAAAAAGCAGCTGGTTTGTGGCAACGTTAAAGTGCGTGGCAAGTTGCCTGGAAGTTTTGGTTGGGCGCGGAAAATGAATGTGGTCGCGTGAAACCGGCGCTTTAGAGTCGGAGGCTTTGCTCTTTTACACCATGAAAACTTGCGTGTTGGCCGTTGCACTTGGGGCGCCTTACCAAGTTCAGCACTCGAAATGCACTGTTTAACTAAACTCAAGCCACATTGTACCGCAAATGTGCGCGCTAATGCCATGTGAAACACGATATTAGTCTAGGGGAAGCTCTGGATTTCTAAGGGATGTACAAATAAAAACCTCAGTTTTACTCCATCGTTGTCTTAGTAACAAGCAAGTCGGACAACACAAAATAAAATTGAATTGCAAAACATCTTCCCGTAATAAAACGCTGCTTAGCTTTTGGGGGTTCTTTCCCGCCGTTTTTTTTTTTTTTTTGCGTACGTCTTGCTTAAATCCGTCACTTCCAGGGGTGGCCGTTGTTCTGGATCACTTTGCGCGGGACTTACTATAAATTTCAAGTGGAACGATTGATGTAGTCGACGGTACAGAAATATTATAGCCTTCCCAAAGCGATTTTTCACGTGAGTGTTGCCTGTGTCGGGCAGGGGCAACATTTGCGATCTTGAACTAAGCACGAAATTATAATTTGAATATTGGGGTAGGGTTGTTAAATCTATCCATCATGCCTTCGTTCAAGTCCTGATGGACAGATTTAACACAGTTGAGATTGATGAGCGAAAATACAAGAATTAAAAATGCTGATGCTACCCCACGGACCGCGGTGATCACAGCGACTACTACTACGCCAACGCAACGACTACTAATTTGCGACAAGGATTGATGCTATGGGTTATTGACAGATTCACCGAATAGAGGCCCTGTTGAAAATTGTGACTCTCCATTTAGAAATTGCACATGCTACGTATTCTAAAATAAATGCAATCATAAATTTATGCATTTAGCTAGTTTAGTTACTGTTCTGCATTTGCTGGTTCAAAGCAGCTCAAACTCAATTTTGTGCTAACCAGCGTTTGCTAACTAGCTGTACTATTACGCCAATTTTGCAACATCTTAATTGCACTGCCTGTACAAGTAACTAACATCGGTCAACTACTACACATGTATATTCGTATTATTGCAGCAGCTTTTGGAATACCCAAACGTTGACACCCGTCAGCAAGACACTGTATAGTATTAGAGCATCTCCACCAGTGGGAAAATTTGGCCAAATATGATTTTTGCCAAACAAATTTCAATAGTCCGATTTTTGTTGAAAAGTTTAATTCTAGTACGAATGATGCATTGGGGGCACGAATTAGCGTAACCCATTTCACAGAAGAAGATGCACGGGTGAGGAGTTGACTGACATGCGCACGACGAAGAGGCTGGCGTCAACTTCGCATAATGAAAAAACAGATAAATAAAAAATGAAACTACAGTACGCAGCCAGTTTTGTGGTCTTACCTGTTAATATGAATGTGTCTGTCATGCTTCGCATATACATGTACTACTACGCAGACTCGAATCGAGAAAAGCCCTTTTCTGATTTTGTCACAGCAAAATCGTTTTTAAGTGTTTAGCCTCTGTTGTAAAACCAAGGACCGGTAAGCCGAACGGGAAGGCGAAGTAGAGGCAAACCCACAGCGCCTGCATAATCTGCACTATGTTTACAGCTGCATACTAGTAATGGCTTCTTTTAAATTTCAGAGCTTTTTCGAGCCAAAGGCACGACTTTGTCCAAAATTATATAAGCTCCCACTAGTACCGATGAGGTTGCTGGGTACTGATGGTTGCGTGATAGCACAAGTTGAACCTTAAGTCTGTAAGCTCTCCTGTATTTCAGTCAGGATATTGCAGTAATTGCTGGAAAACTTTTATATAGCTCGGGATTATTACTCAGAGATGCTTCATGCCGTGTACAACGTCTCGAATATTTGTACACCCGCATCATTTCCTCATCAAACGGACCAATCTCCTTCAGCAGTCTGTGCAATTTCTATATCACCAATGTCTACACTGCGCCCTTCGGCCAGCGTCATAGCCGGCGGTCATCGTCGATGCCCCGTACTTGCTCAGCGAGCATGCCGGAAGATACTCCATGAACCTGTTGACCGTCGGTCCGTAGCATTCTACCAGCAGCAGTAGAAGCGCAGTACAGCAGCTGCACCCTCAATCAGCCAAATCTAGCAATGCACACAAATTCTATTGCACCTCTGTCAAGGATTTTTAAGCCTTGATAGCCATAATCTCGATCGATTTACAAACCGATTACACATACGGGGTGCCGATCACAATACACATTTCGCGAATATTGGAAAAGGTGGACCAAAACTAAATAAATCCCTGCTAGAATTACAATTGCAATATATTGCTATTTCACAGTGGTGAAAATGAATTAATTTATGTCCTCCGCCAGGATCAATTTGCGACCTTGGCTGCTCGGAGCAGCTAAGGTCCTGGAACAGCCTTTTCAGTGTCTTGCGTGTGTAAATTTGGGCATAGTACAAAAGTACTTAAGGGATAATAATAATAAAACGTTAATCCTAGCGTAACTCACAGACGATCTAGTTAGTGGTTGCGCATTCCGTTTCAGACCGACTCTTGCCAATTCTTAGTGAACAACACCAATGCTATTGACGCGCTTACGGTTTAGGTACGGATCGTTGCTCCCCTCACAATTTTTCCACGCCCTACTCGTACGCATTGCTTTCAGTGGCGCGCCGAATATCAAGCCAGATTGATGAGGGATGGTGATATTTTTCCCACCGGAGGCACTGGAGGGTCAGTAAGCTGTTTGTGATCTGATCCTTGCAGTTCCACGATACTCCTTCATACGTACCCCGTACTCTTGGAGTTGTGCTATTGTAAAATCGAACACGAGATATATATTTACCGACGACTCTATGTACCGATTAGCCTCCCTTAGCTAATACAGCCCGTGGAACATTATTGACCAAGTATAGCAAGTTGATCATATTTAGGCGGTTGGTGTGGTTGACATTCCTAAAATATAGTGGGAGTTGATTGAAAAAATATTAATATCTGTTGTGACCCTTTCAGAAGATGATTTCCGATGAAATTGTCTTAGAATGGACGAGAGCGTGCGTTCATGTCAATACATATAACTGATTCCTACTACCAGTTGGTAAAAACATTGATTTCGACCGCATTTGACTGGTGTACAACGTATTGTGCCTTTCAGTTATTCTGCGGCGGTTATTCTGGCTTAATTCTATTCCCTTTCTCAGCCTTAATTGTGGTCATCCAATTCCGTGGTCATTATGGGTTGCCTCATCTCCGCCGGTTTTAGGGTTGAGATGGTGAGCCTGTTTTTTAAGACGGAACAAGTGAATCAAGCCCGAGTAAGAGGGATATGGTGGCGTTTGGCGGTTTGCAGGCCTCCATTGAATGTACAGCCGGAATGGACCATTCCAGCTGTAACCAGGCATATCTTCGCCGATTGGATCTAACATGCCGATCAGCGGTGTAAGG